GCCTTGGTAAGCTCCCGAGGAAAGCCCTGGAGCCGAGTCGAGGCGTGCGGATGCACCAACCTCGCACAGGCCCCAGGCACCGCGCCACGCATGCTCGGGTTTGCGGGCCCGGCCACTCCACATCTGGCTCTCTGTGCCGCGCTCAGCCTGTTACACAGGACAGTCAGCTCTGCGCTGGGCGTGGGCTCACATCATCCGTGCTCCGGGTGTGGCCAAGGCGGGCGGGCGGTGGCCCGGGGCACCACGTGTGTCTCCAGCTCACGGCCTCGGCTGTCGGGACGCAGCCTCGCTGCGAGCCAGGGTTCTCCAGGTGTCGACCATGACACCCACAAGGAGGAGGGAGGCGTGCGTCTGACACCTGCACTCTGAGCACCTGTGGGAACCTGAGACAGCCCAGCCCACCTTCCACTCCTTTCCCCGGAGCTTCCTGTGGGGCGGGCACAGTGCCCTGCGCCGGTGGAGAAGGGGTCCCCCACCCCCGCTCCAGAGAGTAAAGGCAGAGCCTCTGTGAACTCACTCCTTTGGGTCCGTGCACTGTCGGGAGACGGCCGGGTAGGGCCGGAACTGCGCGCAGGCAGGTGCAGCGGGTGTGTCCAGCGGCAGGAGTCCCAAACCAACAGGGAACAGCGAGACACATCCCCCACCACGGGACCGCCGCCGTGAGCGAGGGAAGTGAGCCCGGGTGAGGACGCGGGACAGGAAACCGCGGTGTGAGCAGAAGCTGACGCGGGAGGCCGGTCCCCGCAGTTAGCAGTGGACGTGGGACGCCCAAGGCCCGCCCCCTCCAGGCCCTGGCTGTGACAAGTCCCCCTGAGCCCTCAGCCCTGTGCGGCCTCAGTCCAGCAACTGAAGCAGGAATGCTCCAGGCACCCCAAGTCCCCAGCAAACAAGGGTGCTGAGGGAACCAACACTTCTCCCAGGGACTGGCACCAGCTTCTGCCGACCGCCCCACAGCGGTCCACCACTGCCCCGGCCCGGGCCTCCCAGCCAAGGGGCCCTCAGGCTGCCCCGGCCCTGGTGGCACCTGTCGAGGTCCTTGTGCTCGGGTGCCCAGCGTTTACTCAGCTGCTGGTTTTTTTTTAAAGATTATTTCTTTATTTGAAAGGCAGAATGACAGAGAGTCAGAGAGCGAGAGAGAGAGAAAGATCTTCTACCCATTGGTTCACTCCTCAAATGGCCACAACAGCCAGGGCTGGGCCAGGCCAAAGCCAGGAGCCCAGAGCTCCATCTGGGTCTCCCACATGGGTGCAGGGTCCACGCACTTGGCCCACCTTCTGCTGCTTCCCCAGGCCATTAGCAGGGAGCTGGATCAGAGGTGGAGCAGCCGGGATTTGAACTGGCGTCCATGTGGGATGCTGGCCTCGCAGGCGGTGGCGTAACCCACAATGCCAGCCCCATGGGAGTACTCAGTTTCATGACAGAATGAAACTCATGTCACCTCTTGTAAGCTACGCAGCAGGTACGGCAGGAAGGTGCCTGCTGGGTGGCCGTCACCTGGGACCGCAGCCAGCACACCTGTCCCCAGACAAGCAGGTTCAAGCGTCCTTGTGGCCCATGCTCTTAGGAGGAAGATGGAGAAAGGGGCAGGCGTGGGATAGGCCTGGTCCCCTGAGTCGATTCCAGAACGGGTGAGGCTGGCCACAGAGACCGGAGGGTGAGGGCGCTCGCACGTGGTCGCCACTGGGGAGTGCCGAGCCCTGACACAGGAAGCCAGCTGTGCACTCGGGTTCCAGCCATTGCAGCTCAGTCCAGCAGGAGGATGGGCATCCTCAGGCTCCCGTGTGGTGTATGGGGGGCACTTCGACCCCCAGGCTGGGGGGGGGGCTCCGCCCAGCTCAGCTGCCACTCCAGTGCCCTCCCTGCCCACCCTGGACTGGCGCCCACCGGGGGACCAGAGCCCTTCCTGGAGGCCCACTGCCCGGCACCCACATACTCGGACCCTGGCCGCAGCAAAAATCACAGCGTCGCTCACACCCACGGCAGCCCCGTGCGGCCAGGGTCCCTGGGTCCTCTGCTTCCTGCTGACTGAGCGGGCACACGACGCCTGGCACCGCGTCGGAAATGGCTGCGAGCCGGCGGCCGCCACTGACCGGCCAGGCAGGCTGCTGTGGGCGGAGGAGCTGGGGCAGCCCAGCGCTGCTGTCTCAGGCCCCTGACCGCGGCGGACAGCGCCCTTCTCCACGCCAGGCCAGCGCAAGCCGGGCAAGGCGACGGGGAGCAGGCAGGCGTCCCTCCAGGTGGAGGACAGGGAGCCCTCGCTGGGCGCCTGGCATTTCTCAGCCCCACCTCCCGCAGGCTCCTCCCCTCCCCAACTGAACCTTGCACTGCCCCTGGCGAGTGCCCCCACCCCAGCTGCACCCCACGGGGCCCAGGGGACTCGGACCCGTGACCCACGAGACACGAAGCGTCCTGATATCTTTAGCACTGTGCTCAGGCGGGTGCTGTCGCGGGCTCGGGCTGGGCTGGCTCCGAGCGGACGCGGCTCTAAACCTCACGGAGGCCTCACTCCGAGGAAGAGGCTGGGTGCTGCCCCACACCGGGCCGGGTCTCTGCGGAGGGGCAGGGCGGGGCGGTCGGCAGCCAGGCAGCCGGGCCGGGCTCTCAGCGCAGGGCCGTCCTTGGCCGATTCCAAGCTGTGACTGCTATTGCTGAGCAGAGATGCCCCTGACAACACAGACGTCCCTCTGCCTGTGGGAGACGCTGTAGACCCCACCCATCCACACACAGGCGCAGCGATAGCCCAGGCACCGATCTGCCTGCCTGCTGAGCCCCCCTTCCGAGCAAGGCCGAATGTCCTGGCCACCCTCTGCTCACTGCACCTCCAGACCCACTGTCCCGCTAGCTGCTCCTTCCGGCCCTGCCCCTGCCCCCGCCCTGCCTGACCCAGCCTTGTCAACACATCAGGAGCTGTTGACCTTTGACCCGACATCACCTGGTGAGGAGAGCACAGACACCTGCTGTGTGTGCAGCTGGGCACGGTCCAGACCGTGGGCCTGCAGGGGCCCCGGGCCCTTTGGGAGCTCTTCCAGGGGACGAGGGGTTCCAGGGTGATGAGGGGCAGCCCTGCAAAGCCACAGAAGAGGCAGGGAGTGCCCCAGCACGGTGGCTGCACCCCAGCACCCGGCTGCACCCCCTCCTGCATGCAGGGAAGGCTGGGCACGGCCAGGCAGGTGCTCAGTCCTGGGGGGCTGCCACGCACAGCTGCTGCCCTCCCACTTCCCACCCAGTGTCCCTGGGGGGACAGTGAGTCCAGGTGCCTCCACCCGACCTCACAGAAGGGCTGAGAAGCCTGCTGGGGGCTGCTATAGTGATGGATCCCCTGTGCCAGCCTTGGGGCGCAGCAGCCTGGAGCCCCCGGGGGAGGACCCGGCGCAGCTGAGCCTCCTGGAGGCCGTGGGCAGGCCTGGCCAGGAGGACGGCGCTCCCACTCTGGGCTGTGCGGGGCAAGGGGGACTCTCTGAACTGAGGGGCATGGAGGTTACGGTAGGGGGCGGGGGAAGGGTCTCTGCTTCAGAGATTCAGTGAGGGAGATGGGGTGAGTGTCCTCTCTGGGGCAGAGCCCGAGGCGGGGTGGGGAGGGGTCTGCCCCACTCCCTTCCCCAGCCCGGCTCCTCCAGGTTCCTCCCCCTCTGCCCAGCCCTCACCCTCTCCCCCTCACCCCGTGCAGATGTCAGCCCCCAGGTTCCTGCACCCGCCCCCACCCCACACCTGGCCCTTCTAAAGGACGTCACCTGCTCCCATGGGGGCCACACAGCCAGGCCCAGCCTGAGTGTGTCCCTTCCCCACCCCCACACCCAGCCACAGTCTTCCCAGAAGCAGACATGGAGTGAACTGGGGGCCACAGGGCCAGGGGCAGGGGAGCGAGGAAGGCACAGAGGTTCCCGTTGCGGGGGTCAGGATGGGCTGGGCAGGGGCAGGGCTATCCTGACTAGGGAGTTGTGACTCCTTTCAGCACAGACGACCTTCCCCCACGCCCCGACACCCCACACCTGCCACCCTCTCCTGGGCACTGCCTGGTGGGAGCCCATGCAGAGGCAAGAGGTCAGCACGGGGACACACGGGGAGAATGTGCCCGCCGGGGAGCCGGGGAGCCGGGGCCGGGGGTAGTCCTGGGCTCTGCCCCCATAATAGGCGCTAAAGACAGACAGGACAGTGCCATGGCGCCCCGCGGTGGGCAGTATCCTGTGGGGACCTCGGTCCTGCCCAGCCCCACCCCACCGCTGCAGCCCTGGCCCACGCGGCCAGGCTGGTGTCCTGGTCCCCATCCTGGAGGCATCCCTGTGGCTCAGGTCTGAGAGCATGGGGATGGGGAGGCAGGCGGGCCAGCACCCTCGAGTACTGACCCACCACACCCGGTGTGCGAGTGGGACAGGAGGGACCATCAATGGGTCCCCCCACCTCCTCTCACACATACTGGAGGAGCCTGTAGACCCCTGCCCACCCCCACCCACCCCCAGGTCTTTTCCTCTCTCTGATTAATGCATCGCTGAGCACATCGTGGTATTTCAGCACGGGCAGCGTGTGCTGTGCCCAAGGCCAGACACAGCCCTGACCAGCAGTCACCGGTCCCCTCCAACAGCTGGCACTCGTCGGGTGGCTGTGCCCACAGGTGCGCTTGTTCCGTGGCCTGGCTGTGCACACAGGACTCCCGTGTGTCACTGCCGGACACGTGACGTGCCAGGGAGCCAGCCCGAGGGTGTGGGTCTCAGCTCGGGGCTCCGGGAGGGAGCGGCAGGGCAGGCACAGGCAGAGGCAGAGCAGGGCCTGCTGAGGCGGAGGGGGGGGGGCCCTGCTGTTAGGAAGGCCCTGGGGCTCCTGCCCTCCATGCTGCACCCACCCCCACCCAGCTCCAAGACTGCAAAAGCGAGGGGCCCCGTGCCCCCTCCCTGCTGAGGGACAGGCAGGGACCTCTCCGTGGGGAAGCCCATGTCTCTCCACAGAGCCCAAGGGGAAGCAGGCTGAGCCGCGAGGAGAGAGCCCCACATGCACACGGTGGACGTCCACTCTGGGGGGGACTTTTATTGAAAGTGGACCTGGTCCGTGAGGACTCACAAACCGATCAAGGCTGTCACACTGGGCTTGAGTCCAGTCTCCCAGGCGTCTGGAGCCCAGTGCTGACCCTGCCCCCTCCCGGAGCTCTCAGAGTCTGCAATGATTCACAGGCACTGAGTTCTGGTTGTGGTCGAATGGAATTCACAGGCGCTGAGTTCTGGTTGTGGTCGAATGGAATTCACAGGCGCCGAGTTCTGGCTGCGGTCGAAGCTTTTGCCCTGGCAGAGGCACGGGGCCCTTCTGGAACCACGAGCTGCAGCTTGGCGCTGGCTGCCCCTGCCCAGCTGTCACCAGCGCTGACCACACGGTGCCTCGGGCTGCATCTGTGCCATGTGGGCAGCGGCCTTCCTCCACAGGCTGGCCGGTTTCCAATCCCATTTACAGAGTTTCCGTTCCAAACGACAGGTGCCCATTTGAGAGCCAGGCAAGGGGGGAGGAGCGGCGTCCATTGGGGTCTCCTGCTCAGCTGACGTGGTGGAGGAGGACTCCAGACTCTCTGAGGGTCCCCAGAGCCACAGTGAGGGTGTCCAGGGTGCCTGCCCCGACCCTGGCATTAGCACCAGGTTTTGCAGGCGTGGTGCCTAACTGCGCTAGCCCCAGAGGCCAGCAGGGGGCAAACTCCCCCAAACAGCACCCTGGACAGCAGCCAGCACCGGCACAGGCGCTGCTGCGTCCAGGGTCTCCAGCCAGGCTCACGCTCTGCCCACTCTCTCTGGAATCCTTCCGAGGTGCCACGCCTGCGGTCACACAGCCAGTTGGTGGCACGAGGGGACCTGGTTAGTCCTGCAGCCTTGCACCTTCCAAGGGCCGAGGCCCTGCTACGTGCAGAGGTAGGCAACGCCGAGGCTGAGGGCCAGCAGCCCCCAGCGGGCCCTGGGGCTCCCAGCGCCGTTGCAGAGATCCGTGTTGCAGCAGGAAGCCCTGGAGTAAGCCAGGCTCTCTTGGTAGCCAGGGCAGGTGTAAGCGCAGGACTTGATAACAAACGTTCTCTGGCCAGGGGGACCTACAGAGGACAGGGTGGGGTGTTCACCGAGGCCATGACACCCGCTCCTGCCCTTCAGCACATTCAGGTCTGCTGACAGCCTGCCCGGCCTCCACATCACTCCCCAGCCTTACAGGATGTACAGCAAGAGGTAACCACTATAGGGCTGGGGCTCAGAGAGTGACTAGGGCTCAGGGCTCTCAGAGACCAGAGAGTGACCAGGGCTCAGGGCTCAGTGTGCAGTCAGACTCAGGGCTCAAAGAGTGATCATGGGTCAGGGCCCAGTGTGAGATCAAGGATCAGAGCCCAGAGAGTAACCAGGGCTCAGGGCTCAGTGTGTGATCAAGGATCAGGGCCCAGAGAGTGACCAGGGCTCAGAGCTCAGTGTGTGATCAAGGATCACAGCCCAGAAATAGACCAGGGCTCAGGGCTCAGTGTGCAGACTCAGGGCTCAGTGTGAGATCAAGGATCAGAGCCCAGAGAGTAACCAGAGCTCAGGGCTCAGTGTGTGATCAAGGATCAGGGCCCAGAGAGTGACCAGGGCTCAGAGCTCAGTATGTGATCAAGGATCAGGGCCCAGAGAGTGACCATGCATCAGGGCTCAGTGTGTGATCAAGTATCAGAGCCCAGAAATAGACCAGGGATCAGGGCTCAGTGTGAGATCAAGGATCAGAGCCCAGAGAGTGACCAGGGATCAGGGCTCAGTGTGAGATCAAAGACCAGGGCCCAGAGAGTGACCAGGGCTCAGGGCTCAGTGTGCAGTCAGACTCAGGGCTCAAAGAGTGATCATGGGTCAGGGCCCAGTGTGAGATCAAGGATCAGAGCCCAGAGAGTAACCAGGGCTCAGGGCTCAGTGTGTGATCAAGGATCAGGGCCCAGAGAGTGACCAGGTCTCAGAGCTCAGTGTGTGATCAAGGATCAGAGCCCAGAAATAGACCAGGGATCAGGGTTCAGTGTGAGATCAATGATCAGAGCCCAGAGAGTGACCAGGGATCAAGGCTTAATATGCAGACTCAGGGCTCAGTGTGAGATCAAGGATCAGAGCCCAGAGAGTGGCCAGGGATCAGGGCTCAGTGTGTGATCAAAGACCAGGGCCCAGAGAGTGACCAGGGATCAAGGCTCAGTGTGTGATCAAGCATCAGAGCCCAGAGAGTGACCATGGATCAGGGCTCAGTGTGACATCAAAGACCAGGGCCCAGAGAGTGACCAGGGCTCAGGACTCAGTGTGCAGACTCAGGGCTCAAAGAGTGATCTTGGGTCAGGGCCCAGTGTGAGATCAAGGATCAGAGCCCAGAGAGTGACCAGGGATCAGGGCTCAGTGTGAGATCAAAGACCAGGGCCCAGAGAGTGACCATGGATCAGGGCTCAGGGCTCAGTGTGAGATCAAGGATCAGAGCCCAGAGAGTGACCAGGGATCAGGGCTCAGTGTGTAATCAAAGACCAGGGTCCAGAGAGAGACCAGGGATCAGGGCTCAGCATGTGATCAAGGATCAGGGCTCAGAGACCAGGGCTCAGGGCTCAGTGTGTGATCAGGATCAGAGCCCAGAGAGTGACCAGGGATCAGGGCTCAGTATGAGATCAAGCATCAGGGCCCAGAGAGAGACCAGGGATCAGGGTTCAGTGTGTGATCAAGGATCAGAGCCCAGAAATAGACCAGGGATCAGGGCTCAGTGTGTGGTCAAGGATCAGGGCCCAGAGAGTGATCATGGGTCAGGGCCCGGTGTGAGATCAAGGATCAGGGCTAAGAGAGTGACCTGGGCTCAGGGATTAGGGCTCAAGGTGTGACCAGGATCAGGGCTGAGCTTGTGACCAAGATGGGAGCTTGCTGTGTAAGCAGGGTTAAGTCTCAGTGTAGACAGGGACTCAGGGTTTGGTGTGAACAGGGATCAGAGCTGGGCCTGTGAGCAGGATTAGGGCTCAGCTGGCGAACGTCATCAGGGCTCAATGAATAGCCAGAGTCTGGGCTCTCACACCCCCTCTTTCTGCCTGATCACTTCCTGTGTGCCGGCACCACGGGGAGCCCGGCGTGTGGATGACCCCATCCACTCTCCCTAAGGACTTAGGATGGGGCAGCCACGAGGGCCAGGACAGGTGTGGCATTTGCTGAGAGCGTTGCTGGCCACGTCAGCGCCTGCTTCAGATGCAAGGCCTTCCCAGCCTCCCCCTCCACCATCAGCCCCCCGCCCGCTGGAGGCCTCAAGCACCAGCTCTGTGCACCGCCCACTGCCCCCACCCTGGGGGAGAGGTGCTTACTGTTCCATGTGGTCAGGCAGTAGCGGGTGGCGTCTTGGCAAGTGATGGGCTGGACACAGTTCCCCACCGCGGTGCACTCATGGCATCTCAGCGCCTGGGCTGAGGGAGGCGGGGCCAGGGGGTCAGAGGCCAAGCCCTGCCCCCAGCCCTGGCCTCCCACACAGCCACCCAGGTGTGCGTGTGATCTCGGAAGGCCCCAGCCCGTCCAGCCCCCACCGCTCCTCCCAGGCCCCGGGGAGGCAGCAGCACAGACCTGGCCTGTCCCTGCCTTCCGGAAGGGCCCAGCAGTGCCCAATTTCCCCAGCAGGAAACCAAGGCTCTGGGCAGCTGGAGTTCCAGGCCACCAGGGATGCTGGGCCCCTGGGCCCCTCGCAGCCCGTGGAGGGCAGCTCCCCAGGACTGTACCAGCGCACCTGCACCTCTGCGGGAGTCAGGAGGGCAAAGAGGGGCCAGCATTGGGGTGCAGGGGTCTAAGCCACCACTTGGGACCCCCACGTCCCATATCAGAGTGCCGGTCCCAGCTCCTGCTCCTCCACTTCCAATCCAGCTCCCGGCTAACGCTCCTGGGAAGGCAGTAGGTGATGGCCCAAATGCCTGGGCCCCTGCCACCCCTGTGGAAGACCTGGTGGAGCTCCTGGCTCCTGGCTTCAGCCTGGCCCAGCCCTGGCTGTTGTGGCCATTTGGGGAGCGAAGCAGTGGGTGGAAGATTTGCCCCCATCTCTCTCTCTCACCTCTCCTTCTCCCTCTCCTTCTTCCTCTCCCTTTCCCTCTCTCTGGAGTTCTGCCTTTCAAATAAATAAATCTATTTTTTAAAAAATAGCAAAGAGGTGCAGGCAGCTCCGGGAGCCAGGTGAGGATTCAGGCTGTGGCCCTGCTCGCAGCCCCAGCCACGCTTGTGGGTGCCTGGAAGCCCTGCCTGCCTCTGCCGTCCAGGTCAGCCCAGGCCCTCAGGACAGCAGCCAGAGTCCTGATGCCCTCCGACTCACCTGGCTGTGCCAGCAGGAGCAGCGGCAGCAGCCACAGCAGCTGGGTCCTCATCCCTGGGCCGGGCCGGCGGCGGCGTTCAGTGTGGAGCACAGGTGTGCACAGGAGGAGCCCAGCTGGACTTTATAGGGCTCCAGTGGGGCCGGGCGGGGCTTCCGCGCTCACCTGCTCCCGGCCCAGCATCCACAGGTGCGTCATGCCTGAGGTATGCCCACAGCAGGACCTATCCCTGGGATCTGCCCAGCCCTGGTGCTCCAGGTCCCCCGTGAGCCACTCAGCCTTTGCTCCTGCTCCGTCCAGGGCTGGCTCTCTGTGTTTGCCGGGGCTGGACTACAGCAGCACTGGAAGCTGGGAGTCAGAGATGGCAGGTGTCGCAGGGCGGGTTCCTCCTGCATCTTCCCCCTGTATCCTCACAGGGCTACCCGACTGTGTGGGAGCAGCTGCGGGGCCGGGGACGCTGGGCTGGGGGCGGGACGGAGGCGGGAGGGGCTCTGGTTCTGTCACACAAATGAAAATGTGGAGAGCGGGAAACCTGACCTCTCTAGCTGCAAGGACCCCGGGGTGAGCTCTGGACCCCACTTTGTGGATGAGGAAACCAGGGGCCCAAGGGGAGAAGCGTCTGGCCAGGGTGAGGGCTGTCCTCCCCGAGGGGACGTGGCCTGACAGCCTCGAGGCCCCCAAGACAAGGTCCGCTTCCCTTGCCGGCTGTCACGCACCAGGGCCCAGCCACATCGATGCCCACTCGTGACTCTCCGCTCCCCAGCCTGCCACGTGTGACGCACTGGCTGGGACTCCCCGGAAAGCCCTGGAAGCTCACCATGCCCCACCCGCCCAGAGCTTGGCCAGCAGCCAGGTGCAGCCCAGCACCTCGATGCCGCCTCACCCCACCCTGCAGGCACACCTCACAGAATCCCTGCAGCCACCCCTGACCACAGCCCCTCTCCGACAGGCAGCCAAGCCTGGGGCCAGGTTTCCCTGGCAACCGTATCACTACCATGTTTGCCAAGTCAGGGGAGCAGGGGTCAGCCCTGAGCAACAGCAGAGCTGTGATAAGGACACCAGACAGCACCTTGGACAGACTCTGATGACCAGTCCCAGGGAGGAGCGTTTGTTTGGGCCGAGCTTGGTCTCTCCAGGCAACCCAGTGGGAGGGGGGACTTGCAGCCATCAGGGTGGGGCGCAGCACCAGCTGCCCCCTCCCTACCTGTCCTCTGAGGCGAGAGCCGCAGCTGTCACTCAGGACCCGAGGGGCCGGGTCCTCATCACCCACCTTGGCCACCCCAGGAGCCCACACATGGCTGCCCCAGGGTGAGAGCTGAGCGTGAGCCTCCCCTGGAAGCTGGGAGTCCTCGGTAGTGTGGGGTCTCAAAGGCAGGTGGATTTTATGAGTGCAGCTGCTGGCCAGGTGGGAGACGCATTTCTGGCGCCTTCTATTGTTTCTGCCTCCTGGGAGAAGGCTTTAAAGCGGAAGAGATGGACAGAATTGTTTCAAGAAAAGGGAGGGGAGTTATCTCCAGTGAGGAGACCACTTCAGCCTGCAGGTAGCAGCAGACGTGAGCACAGAGCAGACCATGCGAGTGCTCGGGCGCAGTAGCTCCTTTCCCTCATAGCCCCGCCTAGAGCTGCCTCTGGTGCTGCTGGTGACGGCGGTGTTGGTGACGGTGAGCATGGCAGTGGTCGTGGTGGTGGTGACAGCGGTGTTGGTGATGGTGAGCATGGCAGTGGTCGTGGTAGTGGTGATGGTGAGCATGGCAGTGGTCGTGGTGGTGGTGACAGCGGTGTTGGTGATGGTGAGCATGGCAGTGGTCGTGGTGGCGATAGTGCTGTGGGTGGTGATGATGGCAGTGGTGGTGGTGATGGTGGTGGTGGTGGTGATGGTGAACATGGCAGTGGTGGTGGTCGTGGTGGTAACAGTGACACTGATAGTGGTGTGGGTGGTGATGATGATGATGATGGCAGTGATGGTGGTGATGGTGACAATGGTGGTGGTGATGGCAGTGGTGGTGGTGATGGTAGTGAAGGTGACAATGGTGGTGGTGCTGGTGGTGGTGATGATAGTGAATGTGGTGACAATGATGGTGATGATGGTGAGAGTGGTTTGGGTAGTGATGATGATGGCAATGGTAGTGGTGGTGATGGTGGTACTGGTGACAGTGGTGTTGGTGGTGATGAGTATTGGTAGTGATGGTGTTGGTGAAGATGGTGATGATGGGTGTTGGTGGTGGTGATGGGTGATGGTATGACTAGTGGTGTTAGTGATGGTGGTGATGTGATGGTGGTGGTGGTGATGGAAGTGATGATGGTGGTGACAGTGGTGGTGGTGATGGTGACATTGGCTTAGGTAGTGATGACAATGGCAATGGTAGTGGTGGTGATGGTGGTACTGGTGGCAGTGGTTTTGGTGGTGGTGATGACAGTGATGATGGTGGTGATGGGTGTTGGTGGTGGTGATGGTGGTATTGCTGCTGATGGTGGTGGTGATGTGATGGTGTTGGTGGTGATGTGATGGTGGTGGTGGTGATGTGATGGTGGTGGTGGTGATGTGATGGTAGTGGTGGTGATGAGATGGTGGTGGTGGTATTGCTGAGGTGCTGGTGGTGATGTGATGGTGGTGGTGGGTGGTGGTGGTGGTGATGGTGGTGACAGTGGTGGTGGTGATGGTGACAGTGGTTTGGGTGGTGATGATGATGGTGGTGACAGTGGCAGCAGTGGTGACTTTGCTAGCAAACGTGGTGGCGAAGGTGGAGGAGACAGTGTTGCGGTATTTCCCGGAACAGGTCAACCCAAGTGGCAGTTAAGGCTCACCCTTCAGAATTCCACACACTTGCTCCAGCGCTAATTCACTGACCAGCTGTGGGGCGTGAATCACCTCAGTGTGCCCCACTGATGTCATCGGGGGGAGGCAATCACAGGACCCACCCAAGGTGACTGTGGCACCAAGTGAGATAACGAAGTGCTTAGCCCAGAAGGGGCACGAGCCCGCGACCCCGCCCTGGCTTCCTTCCTCACTGGTCCCAGAGAGGTCTCCAGATTCCCATGCACTCCCAGCCCTGTTCTAGCTCCGATGACCTTGCCACAAGCCACTGTTTGCCACCTCTACACACTTTCCGTGGTCCTCCTGCCCCAATGTGGGGGGCACTGCACAGCAACAGGCCCCGTCTCCTCTTGCATGGATTTCAGGGGGCACCACTGGAGCCTGTTGGCTCCGACCTCAGAGGCTCCTGCCCACAGCGTCCAACCCTGGCCACCACACCCCCACATCCTGCAGAACTGAGCACTTTGCTACCCTGCTTGCCCCGAGACCGTCCTTACCCAAACCAATGCAGAGCTGAGAAAACCCCGGCAAGCCAGACACCTCTGCGTTCCTCTGGTTCCTCTGAGCCCCGCTCACTGCCAACACCACCTTGTGCACCCTTCCTGCTGCTCAGGGTCCTGACCAGGGCACTGCCCACTGCAGACCCCCGACCACAGCCCCGCTGGCTCCTGCTGCTCCCTGCTCAAAGCCCTCCCCGAGATTCCTGGGCCAAGTGTGCTGCAGGCTTGAGGGCACTGTCCCTTTCTTGGTGACAGGGGAGCAGAGTGGCACTGACTGCTGGGTGACCTTGCACAGTTATTTCACTTCTCTGTGCCTCAGTTTCCCTCTCTGTGATGTGGATCTCATCACAGCGCCCACCACATAAAGTGTGGGACACGGGCAAACCCTCCCAGGGTAGCTGGCACGTCCAGCCCTCGTGAGAGCAGCCCCTGCCATCCCTCACCACGGCACCCCTGCCTGCCACAGACGGATGTTGAGGGTGTAAAAGGCCCACCCTCCCCCATGCCCTTGGCGGGGGTCTGGATGGGAGGGTCTTCCTGGGTCTATTGCATCCCTGGCTGGGTGGTCAGCAGCTCGGCCACATCCCCACACTCAGTTCAAAGCAGGTGGGCTTGGGACAGCCCTCTCGGGCCCCCAGGCCCAGGGTGGGCCCTCAGCATGGGGCACTGGGGTCTGCCCACCAGGGCGTGGGAGCCCCCATGTGGGGAGCCGCGGCCTTGGCCCCTGAATCACTCCAACACTCCAGTGACTCAGAGTCCCCAAAGCTGCCAAGACCCGGCCAGCCCAGTCTCCAGAGGCCAATAGCCCTCAGGCCCCGGTTGGACCCCACCCTGTTGCTCAGGCCCGGGCCCCTCCCCCAGGGCAGCACACCCAGAGGACTCTGGACCCGGTGCTGCCGCCGGCCTGGGGCACATGTGTCACGAGAAATGCCAGGGTAGGGGCCCGTCAGCGCAGCTGCTGAGATCAACTCTTCTCCCTGGGAACTCAGGGTGGGCTGGGGGCGGGGAGCGCTGCGGGCCGGAAGGTGGGAGGGACCAGGAGCGCCTCAGCCCCCAGAGCAGCACCCGCCTGAGCTGCAGACAGGCCGCACCTGCCAGTCTCCCTGTGGGACTCAGCCCTGCACCCTGCCGCACCGCCTCCCTCTCCCAGCCCCCTCCTCCCGCCACTCCGCAGGAGGGGCCCCCAACTGTTTTCCAGGATTGCTCCCTGCGGCTGCCACCAAGCACCTGACACAACGCAGCGGTGGCGGCGGCGGGAGGGGCAGGCTCTTCACGAGAAAGAATTCAGGCGTGGGACAGAGGGTGGCGGTCAGAAGGGGGCAGGGGTACGGTGGGACAGAGGGCGGCGGTCAGCAGGGGGGCAGGGGTACGGGCGTCGTCAGAACGGGGTGGGGGACAGAACCTGAGAGAGAGCGCCCCTCACTCAGACTGGGGACGGCGAGGCCCGTGGGTAGGTGGAGAGGGTGCACCCGGCGGGGCGGGCGGCAGAGCTGAGCGCGCAGTGGTCAGACTGCAGCTGATAAGGGAAGGGTCCAGGCCTTCCCGCCGTGCCCGCCTCCCCCTCCCCCCCAGGACAGAGGTGTGCTGAGTGTCAGTGAGTGGACTCCTCCCAGCGCTCCCTGCTCAGCGCTGTCAGACGGGGAGCCCCCTGGGCGGGCAGAGGAGCCTCCCTCGGGCGCCCGCCCTGGAGGAAGGATGTGATGGATTTATTGCTCCGTGTGGTCAGGCCGGGCCACCCGTGGGTGCTGAGAGAGGGCTGTCCGGGGAGCCTTCCCTGGGGGCGGCCGGGACCCTGTGCGTCATCGGGGTCAGGGCTGCGTCTGAGGCGGCTGCGTTCCCCTCCCCAGGCCCCTCACAGGCTGATTGCTGTTCCCACCCAACCCACTGGGGGGACACCACCCTTCCCAGCAGCACTGCGGCCAACAGGCCCGGCCTGCCCCGTGGGCTGTGCCACCCCATCCCCCAGCACCCGGCCTGCCCCGTGGGCTGTGCCACCCCATCCCCCAGCACCCGGCCTGCCCCCAGGGGCTGTGTCACCCCATCCCCCAGCACCCGGCCTGCCCCCAGGGGCTGTGCCACCCCATCCCCCAGCACCCGGCCTGCCCCCAGGGGCTGTGCCACCCCATCCCCCAGCACTCGGCCTGCCCCCAGGGGCTGTGCCACCCCATCCCCCAGCACCCGGCCTGCCCCGTGGGCTGTGCCACCCCATCCCCCAGCACCCGGCCTGCCCCGTGGGCTGTGTCACCCCATCCCCCAGCACCCGGCCTGCCCCGTGGGCTGTGCCACCCCATCCCCCAGCACCCGGCCTGCCCCCAGAGGCTGTGCCACCCCATCCCCCAGCACCCGGCCTGCCCCCAGGGGCTGTGCCACCCCCATCCCCCCAGCACCCGGCCTGCCCCGTGGGCTGTGCCACCCCATACCCCCAGCACCCGGCCTGCCCCGTGGGCTGTGCCACCCCATCCCCCCAGCACCCGGCCTGCCCCGTGGGCTGTGCCACCCCATCCCCCAGCACCCGGCCTGCCCCCAGGGGCTGTGCCACCCCATCCCCCAGCACCCGGCCTGCCCCGTGGGCTGTGCCACCCCATCCCCCAGCACCCGGCCTGCCCCGTGGGCTGTGCCACCACATCCCCCCAGCACCCGGCCTGCCCCGTGGGCTGTGCCACCCCATCCCCCAGCACCCGGCCTGCCCCGTGGGCTGTGCCACCCCATCCCCCAGCACCCGGCCTGCCCCCAGGGGCTGTGCCACCCCATCCCCCAGCACCCGGCCTGCCCCGTGGGCTGTGCCACCCCATCCCCCAGCACCCGGCCTGCCCCGTGGGCTGTGCCACCCCCATCCCCCCAGCACCCGGCCTGCCCCCTGGGGCTGTGCCACCCCATCCCCCAGCACCTGGCCTGCCCCGTGGGCTGTCACCCCATCCCCCACCCAGCGTCCAGCACTGGGATTCTCCGACTGCCACTCAGTCCCCACTACCATGTCCGTCTCCCGGGGAGACTGCCCGCTCAGTGGACATGTCAGGGCCTCCCAGGCCAGGAGCAGCCCGGGGCAGGGACAGCCCAGCTCAGAGAAGGGCACAGGTACCTGCGGTGGAGTGTGGTGAGCACTGAAGGGCGGGGCCGGCAGGTGAGAG